ACAACGCAATTTGATTGTTACTCTTGTCTGATTGAACAACGCAATTTTACTGTTACTCTTGTCTGATTGAACAACGCAATTTGATTGTTACTCTTGTAGTGTGTAGCGCGCTTTTCGGAAACGGGCCACGAATTATGAACCCTTAGATTTACAGTTCAGGCCACTACGACTACGTCACGTCAGGACCGGCCCATAAAACTCAGTGTGCGACTTTATATGTATGTGGTTCCTCACTTGATTGAAGTAATCGTATCCTTCTTACCAGAGGCACGGCTATGGGGTGGAAAGAGGTAGTCAACCCTTAGAGAACTGTGGTAAAAAAATAATAAAAAAATCGGATATTTAAAGATCTTAATAAAAATCGTCCTCTAAGATCAGCTGGAAACGTGTTGCCAGTACTTACATGACTGCCATTGGAGCACACGTGTCACGTGCTTACATCTGAATAATATTACATCTAGTTAATGCCATCAGCATTATTCTTTGTAAAAACTTGTCATATTTTTATATATTTTGCAGAGAAAATGTAACATATGAAGAAAGCATATGTGATTTTTTTTAGACACATATAAGTATTTGGTTTGTTGCACCTGAATCATGTTTGGCTTCCATTCAACTTAAGCAAGTTGTTTAAAGAAATTTAGTAACGCATATTTCATGCGCTTAGTGTCTGGAACATTTAAAATCTTTTGTCTACCTCCCCCCCCCCCCATGAAACATTTCTATCTGCGACACTGCTTCCTACAGTTTTCTAAAACCATTACCGTTCAATAGGCTTACTATACTACAGTTAGTTTTATAGTTCACACCACCACAATGCTCCTGAAGCTTCATGTGATCCTTATACAATTTGACAAATCCTTGGAAAGCGATCTTAACGTACAACAGAATATGCTCTTACCCATCCCCCCTTTCTGGATGCACGTTCAGCGACTAAACTTTATCAGAATTTCGCACTAATTTCCTTCAACAAAGCTAAAGTGGTAGTTCATTAAAGTACGTATAAACAGTTAATTCGCCTAACACACAAAAGGATATCATCAGTAAACGTTTTAACTTTGCTATTTTCCCCACTAAAACTAAACTAAAAGCAAGTTTTAATTCCTAGTTGAAACTTAATAAATAAATATGAAAACAAAAATACTAACATCAAACTACCTAAAAACAATGTAAATAATACAAACACAGACCAAACTATAAATCAAAACCTTCAAGGTTTACCTAAGAAACCATTTTAAAATGAAATAATTTATTTCCCATTAAAACCAATAAAAGAGTATTTAAAACATTTTAGATCCTTCAAAGGGAACAAACTATATTTTTTTTCAAAACCAACAAAAACATAAAGCAGCCTAACAAAAACATTAAATCTCTGCATTGAAAGAATTAAATAACGTAAAGATAGTTTAAAAATTACAGCAGTTAAAGGCAATACAATTGATATCATAGAACAGTTAACATACTTGATGTTAAAGAAATTTCACAAAATTAGCAGAAAACCTGAAGAAGATATATGAAAACAAACTAATTAATCTCCTTTCAACTATACCCTCAGAAAGTAATAGCCATAAAAACATTATAATATCACTCAAAAATGCAGATGCTAGAACAACAAATACTTATGGCAATTTGAAAATACACTAAATCGATTAGCATCAGACCAATTGTCTCTGCATTTGCATCATTTAACAATAACCTAAGTTCTCGAAGGTGTTAGATTCAACATATCTCTCTCACTCTGTAGAAAACATAACTTCTTGAAATAGCTAGACAAATGAGCTAAATATCAGCAATAAATTATGGCAAAAGTATGAGAACAAACACACATTTAGAGGCCAGAATGATCTTTTGATGTTTTGTCTTTAGCATAAACACAAAGTTACTCAAAATGTTTGTTTGTTTGTTGAATTTCGCGCAAAGCTAAACAAGTCGTCGCTAATTTTGGAGTGATACACTAGATTGTTATTTACTGTAATTAGCACAAAGCTAATCAATGAGCTATGTGTGCTCTGCCCACCACAGGTATCGAAGCCCGGTTTTTAGTGTTGTAAGTCCACAGACAAACCGCTGTGCCACTGAGAGGCTGATACACTAGAGTTCAAGCAACTAGTCAACACAATTCACCGTTAACTCTTGGGCTGCTCTGGCCTGTCTGATCGAATAGTGGGATTTGACCGTCATTATTATAACGCATCTGTGGCCCCAAAGCGCATAGCGCGATTTTTTGGATGGTAACGGGACGCGAACCAAATATCATGTTCACGCTCCTGCACATTAACCAATGGGTCACGTTCAGCCCAGCTTAAACTGATCTCTAAACTCTGAAAAAATTTCAGAGATGTACGTTCCCTTCAAAAACAGATTTTCTTTTAGAACATCTCACACTATTATTAAGAAATATTTAGAAGCTTTGTACACTTCTAAAATTAATAAATGTTCTGCAATATAGTGTCACAAATATCATGAATATATATTGTCTCCAATTATATTTCAACCATCAGTCAACTTCAGAAAAGCTACAATACTAATCATGGATGTACAACGTGTGCACTATTAGTGCTCTAACAAATTGTTTGTTTGTTTGTTTTTAATTTCGTCGC